CCTTTAATCCCAGCACTAGGGAGGCAGAGGCAGGAGGATCTCTGTGAGTTTGAGGCCAGCCTGGGCTACAGAGTGAGTTCCAGGACAGCCAGAGCTACACAGAGAACCCCGGTCTCCAAAACACAAACAAATCAGAAAAAAAAAGTTAACAAAGAGCTGGAGAGATGGCTCAGAGGTTAAGAGCACTGGCCGCTCTTCCAGAGGTCCTGGGTTGGATTCTGACCTCCCACATGGTGGCTCACAACCATCTGTAACTCTAGTTCCAGAGGAGCCCATGCTCAATTTTGGCCTCTGTAAGCACTGCACACATGTGATGCACATACATGCAAGTAAGAAAAATACTCATACACATACATAATTTTAAAAAAATAAATGAAGGAGGCCGGGCGGTGGTGGCACACACCTTTAATCCCAGCACTCGGGAGACAGATCCAGGCGGATCTCTGTGAGTTCGAGGCCAGCCTGGTCTACAGAGTGAGTTCCAGGACAGGCACCAAAACTTCACAGAGAAACCCTGTCTCAAAAAAACAAAAAATAGGTAGGTAGGTAGGTAGGTAGGTAGGTAGGTAGGTAGGTAGGTAGGTAAACAGACGGACGGACGGACAGACAGACAGACAAATAAAGGAATCTAGCATGCTGAACACGTTTTGCACTCCCTGACAATTGCCTCAAGTTATACTTCCATTCAAAACACTGACACGTGACAGTTTTCACATCACCTGGAAGGAAACAAGGGGGTGAGTCAGCCCTCGTGTGACAGAAGTACAGAATTTGCCAGCTGAGCCCTGGGATCATCAAAGGGCACTCAACGAGGAAAGAGCTCCAGGCACTGCCCTCCGGCAGCACACGGATCACCCATGACCTGACACCCAGGGCCCTTCTGACTCATCCTGTCCTGAGCATCACCAGAAAACCGGGCGCCGTGATGAGTCAGCGTCCTGCCCGTCTCCACTCCAGCTGCAGACGGGATTCTGAAGTAAGCACCACCGCACTCTGCTGCTAGTCTTGCTACACTGCAGCACTGGGCCCCACTCCCCGGATCCGACTCTTGGTCCTCCCTTTGACTCCTGTCCTCCAGCATCACGGATGCTGTGTTTCTAATCACGGTAACACATCCCCACCACTTGGTCCATCCATCAGCCTGCACAGTCAGGATCTGCTCTGAGTTGAACTCCTAAACAGATACGGTGGGACTGAGTGAGAATGGAGCTCAGGAGTCAAGTACCTGCCAAGAAACTCCAGTGAGGGGCTGGGGTGTGGCTCAGTGGTAGAGCTCCTGCCTAGAATCCCCCAGTGAGGGGCTGGGGGTGTGGCTCAGTGGTAGAGCCCCTGCCCAGAATCCCCCAGTGAGGGGCTAGGGGTGTGGCTCAGCATTCACAATGTTCTAAGTTCTACTCCTACCATGGGGGAAAAAATGTAACAAAAACGCATGGTAGTTGACATGGTAGTGCACACTGTAATCTCAGCTCTCAGGAGTCTGTGGCAGGAGGATTCTGAGTTTGAGGCCAGCTTCGATGATATAATAAGACCCTGTCTCAAAAATTTAAAGAGCATGTTAAACTCCTGACCCAGGAGCTATTATGTGCAATGTAGTGAGTTAAGATGGGGTAAGGGTGCCAGGCGGTGGTGGTGCACGCCATTAATCCCAGCACTCAAGAGGCAGAGGCCCGTGGATCTCTGAGTTCAAGGCCAGCCAGGGCTACATAGTGAGTTCAAGGCCAGCCAGAGCTACATAGTGAGACCCTGTCTCAAAAGGTAAATAAACAAAAACTTTCACATTTTTAAAGTAACTTTTTTAAGTGATAAAGGAAAATGCAATTGGTATATGCCACGCCTTTAATCTCAGCTCAGCTCAGGAGGGCAGAGGTAGGCAGAGCTATGTGAGATTTTATCTCAAAAATTTTTTTTAAAAAAGGTGGTAAAACTGGGGGCTCAGTAAGTAAAGGTTCATGCTCCCAAGCCTGACTACCTGAGTTCAGTCCCTGGGATCCATGTAAAGGTAGACTAGAGCGGACTTCTGCAGGTTCTCCTCTGGTTCCCACATGGGAGCCATGGTGTGCATGTGTGCCCACAAACACACACAAAATTCATAAATATGTATAAGTGTATGCATAGGTACACAGTAACTAATAAACGTAAATTTATATACATATAAATTACACACACACACACATATATATATAATAAATGTGATAAGACTGGATGGGATGGTACATTTTATATGTCCATATAGCTGGGCCACAGGATGTCCAGAGAGTTGGTCAAACATGACCAAATTACATTTTGAAGGAGATTAATATTTACATCAGCAAACAGTGAAGCCAGCAGACAGCCCTCCCTGATGTGGGTGGGCCTCACCCAATCTTCAGAAGCCCAACTAACAACAGAGATTGACCCTCTGCAGAGCAGAGAGACTTCTTCTACCCAAGGCCTTCCAGTGGGAACAGCAACTCTCTCCTGCCTCCAAACCCAACCCAGTCTGGGGCCTGCAACCTCTGGGCAGAAACTGCATCCACCGGATCTCCTGGGTCTCCAGCTAACAAGCTGCAGATCTGGGTCTTGTCAGCTCTACACCTGTG